ATGAAATTTATCATTTGGAATAGCATTGAAAAGAAAATAGAATATCTGGCCTTACATAAGACGCTTAAAAATTTGAGTTTTAAACGAAAAAACTCGTTAAAGTTACCAAAGTTTTCTAGTTCCTCTTGTTTAACATTTTCCCTTCTGTGGGACAATATATATACACACACCTAAAATTTTATGTAGAAGGTACGTTCTTCATGCACTTGGCTTTCTAGCGCCATTTTTTTAGTCCTAATGACGGGTTAATTATCCCTTTATTCATTTGTCGCTAAACGTTAGGGAATTGACTTTATATCGACCTTTGCCAACTTTCATGTACTCCTTTCTCTAGCTCTTGTTTCTCAGTTTTCAAAAACGTTTCCGTATATATTCATTCATTTGTAAACATTGAACAATTTGGCTTTACACGGAACACTAGAAACCTTCAATTTTAAGTGAAAAATTACTACTCTCTTTCCCTTTTCTTCCCTCCACCCATCTCGTCTGTCTGTCTGGTTGCTTGAATGGCTGCCTGTCTTTGTAGCTGTCTAGTTGTGGTTTAATTATATGGGCAAGAAGATGTCATACAAAAGGTGCAGTGAAAAGCACCAGGCGAGTTTTATTAAAACCCGACCTTGTTTCTAATGATCACCCCTTCTCGGCCCTATGACGCACGTAAAAATATAAGGGTATGTGGCCGATTTAACGAAGTTCTTGGCGTTAAGAAGTCCGAACCAGCGTATTTTGAGAGTGTGTTTAGATTTGGCTGTTTGCCATCAAGTTGAACGAAAGAAAGTGAACTAAGATATGGAAACCGTCTGCTCTTGTTTGGTAAATTTGTGTTGAGAAGTTTTTAGTTTTTTTACTGTCTATCTTGCTTTCACTTCCTAGTGCCATAGGTTTTGTACTTTTCAGCTTATCACGTTGTATGACACTGTATTCTGTAGTTTTTGTAGACGTAAAATGTTTAGTATGTCCAATGGGTCCGGGTTGGCCCTATTGTAGAGCTTTAGATTGCAGAGCTAGCGTGCCGGGTTCGAATCTGTGCGATACCACAAAAATATTTCCTGCACTTTAAGCTATTGATTGGAGCGTTGTCAGAGTGACAGTCAACCCCATTAGCGTGGAAGATGGGTGATAGGGTGCGACTGACTGTTCGTTCGCCTTCTCTCTGGTCAGTAGTTCAAAAAATTGGGATGGTGGCGGACAGCCTTAATAATTTTGCCATAAATACAAGTATGCCCAATTAATTTTTCGGCTTCAGTGTGAATTTTCTACTTTTTTAATCTGATGAGTTGATTATAGTTATCAGAAGCGTTTATCACACTTTATTTGATTAAACACCGCCCCCCCCCGTTTTTAGTTTCTTTAACATTACACTGTGTTCATAGTAACTCGTTTGATACTCAGCTCCTTTAACTATATGACAAATTATTCAGAATGAGTTGGGAAATCTTCAACTTTTGGCGTATATTTCAGTGAGTTGTATGGTCCTTCCATTCCTAGCTATATCCTTACAGTTACACGATCATTTATGTAACTTGTATACATTCTCTGCTGTATCACGTTTTGGGTGATTTGTGCTATAAGGCTAGAACGATTTGAAATGCGAGCGTGCGCAGTACGTTTTAATATTAAATTACATGGGCGTAGTGGTTTACGTGCACAGAATGTGAATCCGAAAATTCACAGTTCGCGATCATTTACCACAAAAATGCGCTCCACACTTTGGGACTGTGGATGCATTATAAGAGTAACAGTCAAAACCCACTATTCGTTCACACGAAAGCATCCCATGTGCAGTTGACTAGGTGTCTTTTTTCTACGAGTTCAAACTTAGGGACGAACGACTTAGCACAAAAAGCTATTGTTTAGCTTTGCGTAAGATTCTGAAACAAACATAAAACTTGTCTATATGGTTTATTTAGGTTTTCAAACTGTCCGAAGATACAGACAGGCGTCATTTTAAACAGTTGTGATTCTGTTGAGTACATTCAACTTTACTGTAATAATGACCATTGGTCATTAGTATTAAAACCCAACTTGATTTACATGTGGTAAATGTTTAAACCTTCCAGAAGATTGGGTTTAAAGCCAACACACACACACACACACACACACACACACACACACACACACACACACACACACACACACACACATATATATATATATATATATGATCAAAAACAAGTCCAAACAAAAGTCAAATAAATACGCTGCAAATCAAAAGGATCCCCAGGGCACAGGCTATAATGTGGGATATAGAATGTGCCCTGGGTCTTGGACGTGACTGCGGAAGTAGGACCCACATTGCGGTGGAGATACATCGTCTGTCAGTCTTAATCTCCGTTCGCTGGTCTCACATGAAAAAATTCAAAAACATTATCAGAAGTAGAAATTAGGAGAGCGAGATGTGGGTGCTCTAGCCCACAACTTCCCACATCTATATCACCCTTCACTGCCCGCAGACAGTTGTGGGAAGGTGACTGCTCTCCAAAGTAAAATAAAAAAAGAAAAATAAAATAAGGAAAGACAAAATGAGGTACCACTACTTGGGGGTAAGTAAGGTAAACTGAAATATATATTATGTCCCCCATTTCTTGCTCTTGGTATTAACATTTATAAATATATAATCATACAAAGTACGAGACTTCTTAGCTAAGGCATTCTAAACATTTTACGCTTGTCCAGTGACAGATGATAGGTAACTCTCAGCCAGTTAGTTGAGTAGGCCATAGATAAACTTTTTTTTTTTTTTCAATTAGGTTTCAGACAGATTAGTTTTAATAATTATTTGTCCATTATAATAATACTCAGTTTCGCCTGTCCTGAAAATGCGCGTGCACCTTACTATGTAAATGCGCATGCATATCATTTAATCGGATGTAGACAAAAAACGAATGTAAATATACTTTAATAGACATTTTCTATAACAGCATATTGAAAGCTTGTCAACATTTTTAAAAAGGTCTAACGTTAGGTCGTAGAATAACATTAAGTTTATTTATTGGCAGTATTAAGTACGATAGTGTAGCCCTAACTAAACTAAAGCAAAAAACATACACAAGTTATAGTGTTAATTTAAATAATTTAAAACGGCACCTGTACAATTGTATATTGTGTAATTATTTTAAAGGTGTATTCCTTTATTTATTTATATATAATACACGTGCATACACATAATCTAAAGGAGTACAACCTTAAAATAATTACACAATATACAATTTATTAAAAACGGGGGCCAACTGTACATAGAGGATATAATCCCGAAATCATTGATAGACTGTACAAAATACATAATAAATTAAAATTTTCGTTATGTACAAAGTTAAAGTTGATCACGTGAGGGTTTGTTTTCCATGTATGTTTTATAAACTCTGGATGTTTTAATTCTAGATGGCACCAAAGGAATTGAAATGATTATGTAGTTACTTAAGTCTTGATCAAACTTCAACTTGTACTCCTGATTATGGTGGCGTAAGAACACCGAAACATGTAGTTGTTTTTCTTTTTTTTCTAGGGCTGATCCCTGTTTTTAATAAATTATTTATTGTGTAATTATTTTAACGTTGTATTCCATTTAATTATATAGTGATAATTTATCTCTCTATCAAATATAGGCCGTACTTAATAAAGGGTTAACTAATATTAGGCCTAAGACAAGTGGACTTGCGGAGTTCGACGATTAGAGCTATTTGTATTATACTAGAAATCCTGTATGTAAAAAAAGTATTGTTGCAATAAAGAACTAATCCGACTGCAAATGTTTTGCGGGTATCTGCTAGTTTTATATATATATATATATATATATATATATATATTAAGTGTGTCTTTCGTCTTTACCGTTTTAGTAGTGTTAGTGTTGGTGTCAT